AGACAAAACCCATCTGAGAAATAGACAAGAAGAGCCACCCAAAAGGTAAAATGACGCGGCCCAAAGGAGAGTGAACACAATAGGATCCTGGGCAAGATTCCGTTCTCCCACTGTCTCAGCCCAGGGCCCAGCTCATAGACCAGCAAGGCAGGGGCCCAACAAATACTGCAATTGTAATTTGCAAACAGCACTGCCCCCAGCCCAGGTGTGGAGTTTGTGGGGTCAAGGGGACATGTCCACCTTCAGCCATGTCCCTTCCTCCAGACCCCAGTCTGGGTTCATGGAATTACCTGCTCAGCTTCCCCGACCCTGAGGAGCACCCAGGCGTGCGCAGTCTCTGCCCTGGGCGCACTCTCCTGACTCTTCCTCACAGAGGCACCTACAGATGCCAGGAGTGGCCCAGGGTGCAAAGATTCTTAGCATTAAAGCTCTATTTTCAGAACTTCTACTGAGAACCCAGTTTATGGAACAGATAAAAGCCTGTGTGACCCCTCAAAGGCAGTTTCCTCTTCATGACGATTGGTGTAACCCTCTCAATCACCTCGAAGTGCCGAAGAGCCAGTGTCAGGGCAATTTGAAAAGCACTACGTTGCCTGAGCCGGTTTGGCTCAGTGAGTAAAGCATCGGCCTGCAGACTGAAGGGTCCCGGCTTCCATTCAGTCAAGGGCACATGCCTCGGTTGCAGGCTTGATCCCCAGGAGGCGGCGTACAGGAGGCAGCCGATCAATGATTGATCTCTCATCATTGATGTTTCTGTCTCTCTCTCCCTCTTCCTTCCTCTCTGAAATTAATTTTAAAAAAATATTTTTTTTTTTAAAAAAAGAAAGAAAAGCACTACTTTGAGACAAAACTATAGGGGACGACTTTCAGCAGAGACCGGAGGCCCCTCGCAGGAGCCCGGTGTGCCTGACCTTCAGCGACTCCGCAGGAATGTGAGTTGCTGGGCAGGGCTCACCTGTGAGGCAGTGAGGAGTGGCAGGATGGGGCTGAGAGAAGGAACAGCCAGAGACTCTTTCTCATCCATCCCCGGAGAGGAGGACAGCTAACACACTCAGGAGCCGGGGCAAAGCTATGAATTTCATCAAAAAAGTTTCCTGGGAGCCCAGCTGGCCATGACTCAGTGGTTAAGCGTTGACCTTTGAACCAGGAGATCACAGTTTGATTCCCGGTCATGGCACATGCCCGGGTTGCATGCGGGAGGCAGCCAGTCAATGATTCTCGCTCATCATTGCTGTTTCTATCTCTCTCTCCCCCTCTCCCTTCCTCTCTGAAATCAATAAAGATATAAAATAAAATAAAAAAGTTTCCTGAGAGACTGCTATGCGCCAGGCACTGAGGTAGGGACTGCAGGTTCCATGGTGAACACAATGGATGAGGCTACGATCTTCCCGTGGAGTTTTTAAGACTCCAGGACATTATAAACCAGCTCTCCCTCCCACAGCCTCCTGACCCTCTACCTCATCAATGCCCACCGCTGAGGGCCATCCAGGTCCCCATCCCTGTTCCCTTTGAAGAAGGGAGCCCACCAGGCAGAGAGAGGGAAGGATTCAAAGCAGGGCATCCCCACACGCTGTACTATGGGACAGAGCGGACAGTGAGGGTGTGCAGGAGGGTAGGAGCCCCCACGGAGGGGCTACCTGCTGGCCAGCAGCCTCACTCTGCCAGTGCCCCCCACAGAGCCCAACATGACTCTTCATCGGAGTTTATCTCAGCAGAGAACAACCCATCCTCCTTGCCTCCTACCTTAGTTTCTGGAGTCCCACCTCTGTACCCTGGGGAAGGTCTTCCTTTAGTCTAACCAGCATGCCTCCTACTGCTCCCACGGCCTGTTATTTCTTTTTTTTTCTAGTTCCTCTTCCATTCAAATGTCTCAATCTTTATAGCTTCTCCTCTAACTCTCCCCACCCCACCTTTCTCTCGTCCTTCCTTCCCGGACACCTGCCCCACTATTCACTTTGGCCTCCGTGTGTCCTGGAAGGAGTGTGCCCTTGCCCTGGTTTGTCTGGGACTGCCCCAGTTTCAGCACTGAGCGTAGTACTGAGAGTCTCGTGTCTGAGGAAATTGCTCAGTTTCAGGGACGGTGGACACCCTACCTGGAAGGCAGGACACTGCCTGAGGCCCAGCCCCAGAGGCCGGATTGGAGCAGGGTTTGGGTGCAAAAATTACTAAGAGACCAGCAGCATTTTCCCACACGCACAGGAGACAAAGCCAGTCACGATTCCCAACCCCCCACACAGATGCATATACACAGAGACACCTACAGTCTCCAAAACAGAGCACAGCCCACACACCCAGCAGCAGACACCCACAGGAACACAGATACACACACTCAGACTCATGCAGGCAACTCAGGCTCACAGACCCACGTTCCCAGAAGCAGGGGGGGTGGGGGGGGGGAGGACACGGATAGGCACACACAGTCCACTAACAACACACGCTGGAAACACAAACACCTACGCACAGAACCACACGGTCGTAAAGACAGACTCTGCAGAGAGACATACATTCATTTCATGAATCCTCAGACACACACAGACATACACCTACTAACAGAGACAGACAGACACACATTCTGACACCCACACCGGCCCAGGCACACAAAGAGGCCTTCACCTGCACCCGGGGTAAGCTGATCAGCAAATCCAGAGCTTTTCCCTGTTCTGCCTTGGAAATACCCACAGGGGTTGGGAGACGAGCCCGACTCCTCCTCACCTGAGAGGAGCCGGTAGCCCCGGTGGAAGGCAGCAGACCCTGGGCCGGAGCCTCAAGGAACCAGATAACACATGCCCCAACCCTGCTGAAGACTCCTCCCAGGCTTGGGGTCCCTACCCATCCCAGTACCAGGGCTGGGACCGTTCTGAGAGCAGCCGTGCTGGAGAGGGGTTCAGATGTGGGAAGCTCTCGCTCCCTCTCTTGGGGTTGGCTGGTGGGGGTGGAGAAGTGTGAGCGAAATGGGTTTATTACTGAGAGTCTGTTGCCTCAATTGGTATCGATCCCTGCATGTCACCTTCCATTGCCTCTAATGGAACCTGAAGAGTCTCCACGGACACCACAGCCACTGGACACACACACACACACACACACACACACACACACGCAGCCTCCCTGGCCCTAGCCCTCATATCCACTTGCTGCACATCCCAGGGCTGCCTCCCTTGCCTCCTGCTCACCTCCTCCTCCATCTCTAGTCTCCTCTCTTCCCTCTGCCTCACCTACTCCTTCCCCTAGTCCTCTCCTCCTCCCTCTTCTTTGTCTCCCGAAGGCTGATTTTCTCCTCCTTCCAAAAGCATACCTGGCACTTCCTCTCCTTTCCTCTTTCTGGCCCCTGGGACCTTCTCCCTCTATTCAGGGGTGTCTCTTTCCCTCTCCTTCCTTCACCTCTTCTCCCTCTTCTAAATCAAGTCTCTGTCACCACCACTGCCCTCTGTCCTTCTGATGAGGGTGCACTGGGCCCCATCCTGTCTTGGGGAGCGGCTGGGAGATTCAAGGGAATGAGCCCGTGGGAATGACCCCTCTCTCACCAACAGCTGGCAAGGGGTGTTTATAAAGGGATATTCTCCTTCTGTCACACTGGCCTGGCCTGACAGACCCTCTGGGAACAAGCCACGTCCCCTGTCCCTTCAACCCTGGACCCCAGACCAGTCCTGGCAGAAGAGCAAGGAGGGCAAGGGAGAGGAGACGTCTTCTTCCCCATTCCTTAGGGAAGAGATGACACCACCTCCTCCCCTCCACCCTGTCTGGCAACCCCCGACTCTGTGCAGCCTCCAGAGAAGCCCTCCCCAGGCTCTGACCCCATCCCTGTGTCTTTGGTCCCACCCATTTGAAAGGCATAAGCGAGGCCTGAGAGGACCCGTTCAGTATGTCAGACAGTGTCGATAGGCTCAGAATTTAGCAGATCGTGCTGATTACTCAAACACTGCATGAAAAAAAGTCACTAACTAGGAAAGTGACTTTTGAGGCTCAAATAGAGCATTTCTTGCTTTGCTGCTGTGAAGGCACTCAACATGCCTGAGTCTGTGCATTAAGCCCTGGGGGCTGGCAGGGGAGCGGAGAGGGTTCCCCCCAGCCCCCACCTGGCCCTCCCTCAGGCCGACAGGCCTCTCTCCCTGTGGACTCTGAGAGACACCCAGAGCCAGCTCTTAGCCCCAAAGGGGGGAGGGCTGCCTCCTGCGGACTCCGGTCTCCAGACAGGGATGCGATCTCCACCCCAGCTCACTTGGCCTCTATCAATGTATCAGTTTGTCGGGGAGTTTGTGGGGCTGATCAGTCCAGGTACAGTTACTGGGCACGAAGATGGGGGGTTTGAAGGCAATTTATAATGTGTTGAGGCTGCATGTTGCAAGTGAGGGTATTTGAAGTTTCTCTTAAAAATATATTTTTATTGATTTCAGAGAGGAAGGGAGAGGGAGAAAGAGATAGAAACATCAATGATGAGAGAGAATCATTGATCGGCTGCCTCCTGCACGCCCCCTGCTGGGGATCGAGCCCGCAACCCAGGCATGTGCCCTGACCAGGAACCGAACCATGAACTCCTTGTTCATAGGTCGATGCTCAAACACTGAGCCACACTGGCTGGGCGAGTTAGGGTATTTGGATTGGCTAGAGTGTGGAGAGCTGGTTGGGGTACTTTATGGTTTATTTACTCAGCAATCATTGTAGAACAGCCCCCACATCCAGGCACTGTGCCAGACACAGGGATGCACATGGAGATGCTCATGAGAGCAAAGAAAAGGGCTGGATTTGGACAGAGGACTCCCCCTCCCCACAGGTCACCAGGCCATTTGCCTATGTCTTGGGGAAGAAAGAAGAGGCCCAGTGGGCCACCCCAGAAGCCAATGTCTGTGCCAATGTCAGCACCTGACTTCCTAATCTCATGCCCAGCCTCCTCTACAGTGTGACTAGGACAGGGAGGACAGGGAGGGCAGGGAGGGCAGGGAGGGCAGGGAGAGGCGCGGCTTTGAGAGGCGCAGCTTTGATCAGGTTACAGGAATAGGAGAGGAGGGAGGTAGGGGACAGTGTGTGGAACAGCATAAGAGAAAAGGTGAAAACCTAATTGTCTCCGAAGCAGCTGCTCCGTTCTCACAAGGACTTGAAGTTAGCGACAGGAGGGACTTGCCTAGGGGCTCGGATGGCAGCAGAAAGTGGGAAAGCAGAAGAGCCTTCCAGAGGTTACCCTCCCCGGAGAGCTGGGGAGGAAGGAGGTGGGCCGAGGTCCTTGTGAAGCCCAGGCCCGAGGTCCAGGCCCAGGCCCCAGTTCTCCCACTTCAGATTCTGCTGCGACACCTTCATGGAGAGGAAGGGAGGGGTCCTTCCTCCCAGGAGCATCTTCCTGCTCCTAACGCAAATGGTCCTTAAGTGAAGGAAGTGGGATGGGGAGAAGGTGAGCGAAGGGGTAGGACCAGCTCTCCAGGTGAGGAAATACCAACGACATCTAAGAAAACACCCGCATACTGCATCTTGGCACTAACCTCAGTCTTCCTTGCAGCTCCCCATCCTCTGTGAACATCAAGTTTGCCTCATCCTCCCTATAATATTCACCTCCCTGGGACAGTATTCTGGGCCATCCCTCCCTTTGTAGCCCTTTTCCTATGCCCTCAGTGGGCTGGGAGCCCTGTCCGCCTGCCTCCCCCTAACCCTCAGCTCCCATCTCTTCCATCACTCAGCCTCTCTCTCTCACTTCCATTATGTTAGCTTCGGTTGATTTAACCAGAAAACAACCCCCAGAATTTAATTCCGTGGCCCTCTATTCCCATCTCGATCAGCTCGGGGCTGGGAGAGGTTGTGTAATGATGGAGGAGGAGGGGAGAGAAGCTTGGCCTCCCAGAGTCAAGGAGAGAAAAAAAAAAAGAAAGAAAATCATATTGATTCCCCAGTGACAGCCATCAATCTTTCCCTCCCCACTAGGGATTAGGCGATTGGACACAGGCCCACCTACCCAGCTCCAGGGTTGCTTGGTCCCCAGGACTTTAGAGACAGAGGCTCTGGTCTTTGACACCCACCCTCCAGTTTCCCTGGAGTAGTCTCTCTTGAGGTCAGTTACCTAAATCCTTCATCCCTTCCCCAGTGTATTTTGGAATCCTATCCCTGATCGTATTCCGACTATGTCCTTAGCAGGGTATCTGGTGACCATGCAGTTACTCTCTCCTGTCTGGTTTATGCCTTATTTAGAAGTTCTTCTTGCTGTCTAACTTTGAGTCATATTAATAAAGAAAAGGGAAAATCACTTTCTAGAACTCTAAAAGGAAAGAGACATACGAGTGCTTAAACATCCTTAGAAGAAGGTAATTAGGAAAACTATTCATATCGTTTTAATACTCGAGACTAAGAGGAAAAGCCACAGATTGTGCAGATTTGGCAGCAGTATGTGAGCACAGGTGGGGCCTGGGACTCAGAAAGAAACAGGGAGGGAGGTGATGTGAAGTGTCAGAGGTTGCAAAGGGGGCTCTGATCCAGGCCTAGATTCCTTCTATCTCCGCAGAAAGTCCCTTGAGAGGAAAGCTAACTTATACTGGGGAGGGTAGACTGCTAGAAGGACTTCCCGGCCGTCCAGTGTCCCTTTTCTCAGAACCGCAGAAGGGGCAGCCCTCTCACCTGTCCCTCTGTTTGGGGAGCTGTCTGCCCCAGAGGTAGGCGCTGGAGGATGCAAAGGACCCAGGGAGAGAGACTCCCTCCCACTCCACCCCCACGGAGGTGGAGGGGGCGCACGTCTGTCGTGCCACTGGCCCCCGAAGGGTTAATTCTATTGTCTGAAAACCACATCGGCTCCCCTGAGAGCTTGGAGATCCCGCTCTCATTGTAAGTAACCCTAACTCCAGTGTGTGATGAGCCAGGGGTTGCTGGGCGCAGAGTGAGCCCGAAGGAGCTGCTGGACAGAGCACGGACCAGACAGACGATGCACTGAGGTAAGGGACTCTGGGGGCAGGTCTGTGGCTGAGACTGGCCTTCTCTGCCCCCACCCCCCACCCCCCGAGCCGTGGAGCCAGTTGTGGGGCAATTGGGAAGGGGAGAGGTAAGGAGAGGAGAACCCAAGGGCCACACTAAAGCCACCTGCGGGAGGTCAGATGTGGGACAGCACAGATCCAGGTGTTAGGCAGTCAAGGAAGAGAGAGGTGGGGGCCGCATAAAGACAGCGAGTCCAGCAGGGTGGCAGGCTCTTCCCCCCAGAGGGGGCACAGCCAGGGCCCAGATGTTACCCACTGGAGCAGACTCCTGGATTAATGGAATTAGGGGGGCCCTTGGGGCCTTGTTGTGAACATATAGGGAGCTCTGCACCTCAGTGAGCTCACGGGGGCCATCCATGTGGCCAGGGTTGAAGGAAAGTGGGTGAGAACTAGCCCTGAGGGTGTGGGCATCACAGCATGGGGATGGGAGGAAACAGGATGGGCAGAGGCTCCCAAAGAGGGAAGAGTTAGGGCCGTGCTCCCATGGGAGGCAGGCTGGCGTGACCTGAATGGAGACCTCTGATGGCGTAAGAGGTTTCTGCCCCATCCTGCTCTCCCTTTCGCAGACTCCTGGGATCCTTCCCAGAGAACCAGGACCAAGAAGCCTGGGATCTGAGAGCCCCTGTGACCGTGGGGACAGATGTGGGCCGTGTGAAGCTGGAGAGGCACTGAGGTGAGGCTTTGATGGCAGAGAAGTCCCACTCCTCTCCTCAGCCCGTTCCCTGTGGGTAGGAGAAGGGCTGTGGAAGAGTGCGGTGCCCCCGCCACCCCACCTTCGAGCCCCTTCCTGGCCCTGCTCAAGGGTATCGAGGCTCAGTTGGGAGAGGGGCTAGGACACATGAATGGAGCCTCAGGGCTTAGTGGAAGTTGAAGTTAGGGTTGTGTTAAGATTGGGGTGGAACCCTAGCCAGTTTGGCTCAGTGGATAAGAGCGTCGACCTACGGAGTAAAGGGTCCCAGGTTCAATTCTGGTCAAGGACACATGCCTGGGTTGCAGGCTCGATCCCCAGTGGGGGCCATGCAGGAGGCAGCCGATCAATGATTCCCTCTCATCATTGATGTTTCTATCTCTCTCTCCCTCTTCCTTCCTCTCTGACATTAAAAAAAATAAAAAAGATTGGGGTTGAGGTGGAGGCTGGAAGTGGATGCAGGATTGAGGGTTGGGGTGGAGGCAGCAGAGGCCCCCAGCGAGTGAGAGCGCCCCACAGGCCTGCTGCATTCCTGGTCCCCGGTTACTCAGCCTCACGCTGGCTGCCAGCTCACCCCGGCTCAGCATTTGGCTGGGAGCTTTCACTTCCTCTGGCTGGCCTGGCTCCTCAGCCCGGCTGGAGGGGATTTCTTGTCTCTGCGTTGGGAAGACAAAGGGAAGGATAGGGGGTATCCAGACAGGGGGATCCCCTGGGGCACAGTTGATGGGCATGAGATGAACCAACTGAGGTTGCCACTGGGGGAGGGGCAAGGTGCTGGAGGGCTTTGGGAAGACAAGAGTGGGGAGCAGGAGGTGGGCTGAAAGAGCCAGGGCCCGGAAGCTGGGAGGCCTGGGTTCCTGGGTTCAGTTTCCAGCTCTGAAGCATTGAAAAGAGACTGGGGGGCAAGTGGGGGTGGGGGACCTGGAGAAAGAGAACAAAATAACAACGAGAGACAGTGACCGAGACAGCAAGACAGAGAGAGCCAGTGGCACATGACGTGTAGACACAAGAAGTACAGATAGAAATGGAGAGACCAATGGAAACTGAGACAGAAAAAGATGGACAGGACAAGGGGGAGAACAGAAAGGGAAATGGGAAAAAGGAAGAAGAGGTAGACCGAGAGGAAGGAGGAGAGAAACAGCAGTGAAAGAGGAAATGAGCTGAAGGACGAAAGGTCAAACAACGTGAAACAGAGACCTGGAGGGGCCAGAGAAAGGGGTGGGTGCGGAGCTGGAAGAAGACTCCTGACACCCCATTTCCATGCCTAACTCTGCATCCCTGAGGGGGTGTGTACTTTCCCTGTGA